AGCCGAAGCCAGGATATCGTGGTATGCTGCTTCTCCCAATTTGATAATCGTACACTCCCAAGATCCAACAGTCCTCGTGTCAGCAGCTAGATGACTCAAACAAAATAGCGGTCTGTTTGTCTGCGTATCTGGTGGGAAGGTGGTGTGCACAGCTTCCGGGCACTTTTTCTCATTGGAGAAGTGCGTTTGCGTGTCTAAATCTTGACGGTGACATCGCCCCAAAACCTCGTACTGTAACACTGAGCAGTCCAGACCAAATTCCCCCGCAGCCACTCAGCACGCTCCTCAAGCAACCTTCTGCTCGCTGGCACCCGACTGATGAACAGCAGTGGGTCGGGATTATACAGCTGGTAAGGTTTTCTGACAGCAAGTTTCTTTCGGGTGTGGAGTAGCAGGAGGCATGATGCCAGTTTGTTGCCGAACAAAGTGGCGACACTATGACCGGAGACTGACTGCTGTTCTGCTGCCATGCGGGTCTTTCTCGCAGTCGTCCACACATGCATGCATTCACGCGTCCGTGCCTGAACGCCTATCTACCGTAAATCAACATTGTTACGACAATAATTTCCTCTGAGAGGACGCCCCTTACGACACCTACACATACATGTGGTACCATAACTTTTTCCCTTGTGAACAAGCACTCCCGGGGTGTCCTCAGAGATGTTTTTTACACCGCCACGGAAGCAAGTAAAGTGACGAGTTCATTTATTTCGGGTGACACAGAGCGATTCCCTCGGGGGATACCCAACACAGAGAAACACAGACCATCATCATCACCACCACCATCATCGTTTTATGCCGTTCTTTACACCACCGATTGGAAACTTTTGTAGATGGACGAATGGAATGAAAAGGGCATCACATGGGCATCAACGCGGCGACAAGCTGACAAAAACATCAACAACTCCACGACTCACCGTGCTGATTGCCACCGGAGAGGAAAATTCCTTGCGGTTTTTCTTCGGTGACGCACAGCTCACATCCGGAGGGTGGGCAAAAAACTATGTGGTGGTGGCATGCTAGGCGAAGAGTATAGCTAGCTGTAATACTGACGAAAATGCGTCGTGTAGAAGAGAGCTACCATTTTAGACTTTACCGGTAATGTTAGGTGTATCATGTGGGCTCTCGCGATGAGAAACCCGAGGGGGGGCGATTTTGGGTCTCTCTCAACAACGCGAGAGGATTTCAGCCGCCCGCACACTGTTTCGCCCGCTGGTTGGCTTACTGAGTGATGCTTTCCGATGCATCTCGTATCGCCCTCTCCGGAACATAAGCAGCTTCGCAGCGTCCGGTATAAACTCTATGCATCATGCATGCATTTGCGCTTGTACGACTACTATGTTTATGTTTTTGCTACCCACGCCACGCAATACTCTCAAATGTTCCGTACCCACCAACCACAGACAGAGGCGAAGAGATGAACTTCAGGTTGTACCAACATCCTACCGTGAAACACAATTGAAACAGATGCTTGCCGCTAAGAAGACGTATACATAGAAGCGAAGAGAAATCAAACACATGACCTGCCAAGGACCAAGCATTACGATACGTGTGGCGAATAATTATGATGATGAGAGATGTTACAACAGCTGCACCACAAAGGTTCGTGAACATGCAGGGACAAGAACACAACCGCGGACGGTTCACAAGATACTACTACTGCAGCATAGAAATCACCCCCTTATGAATGCCTAACGACAAGGAATATCATCTTCTGAACACGCTGGGGGCACCGAAGGAGAATGCGTCTAATGGCGACGACGTATTGTACACCGATAGACATCAAGAGAGAAAGACAGTAGTTACAAGAAAAACGTTGTCAGCCTATAACTGAGCAATGGACGGGTTTCATCCGGGGATACCTGTACTTCCTCTTACCATTCACACATGGGTAGTCTATACAGTGAACGACCGCGTATCCACCAAGGGGTTACAATGGACAAGAGGGGCCGATAATTACAACCAGACAGAAGGAAAAAAAAGTGCGATAGGAGCAGGAACAAAGGGGAAGAATGACATTTTTTGACAACGGAAACCCTCCCAACAACGGCTCGGATGAGAGTGAAGGGCGTGTCGACAACAATGCCACTGAATGAAACGACCGATCTCCTCGAAGGGCAGAACTCGACAACAGACACCGAAACACAACAACACGCAAACAACGGCTCTCAAAATACCCAGAGCAAGGGCTATGGGGAGGGACAGAGAGAGTAGCAATCTGAGGCGTGTGGCAAAAACTGCCCACTCCTCTCATTGAGGCTGACAGGTTGGAACATACCATAGACTACCCAACGTGTAGATACATGCGATTCACCACAACGTCCACAAGGTTCGTAAGAGCTGAAGCCTCTGCGTTGTTTCCAATAACGAAAGGGAATGGACTGACCACTCGTCAACGGCTAGACCTTGCGCACACTGGAAGGAAACAGGGGGGCAACAACACCAACGTTTGGTAAAAGGCGACTATGTTGTCGAGACTTCCGGTTGACAACAGGGCCATCATGTTCTTGCGGTGCCTCCTGGGATACCTGGTGTGTCGAAAATCCACCACATACAGGTTAGTGCTCGCACTAGAGAACTCGGCAGTTGGGATATTGATGTAGCCTCGAAAGGCTTGAGCACCGCTTGTGAGCCCAGACAAGAACCCTTACAACAAATCATACACATAGCGGCCATTTCTAGCATATCCCTAGGAACTAAGAACCCCATCCTCGACCAAACCTACAGGTTCTTAAGTACCTCCTCCTCCTCCTCCTCCTCCTCCTCCTCTTCCTCCNACGGTTGCAGATTCTGCACGAATGTCGAGAGGCGCACGACACACGCAGCATTAGAGCAAAAAGGAGGGAGCGGCGCTGAAGTGATTCGGACCGTGAAGACGATGCACACGCGGTAATACGTACATAGCCTTGTTCGGGACATTCGACGTGATGTATCATCTGCCCTAGAGCGAAGCAAGCCGCTCTCGTGTGTTACATGTGTGTGTGTTTTCGTCCTATTTATTATGGCGACAGCAGTCCCCCCATTTTTCGTGGTGAGACGTGCACTGCACTCTTCAGTGTATACTACACTTTTCAGGGTATTTTTTCGTACATCTACAACCATCCAGGGTCGGTCACACAGGAGGGAGGTAAAATCCAGGGCTTTTTTCTTCTTTGTATTTATGTTCGTGCCCCACCTTCCTCCTCTCTCTCGTGGAAGGAGAAACTGGCGTTCGGCAATCAACACAATGGCGTGACAGCGGGAGCGAGTGTCTTGTGGACCGTACACTCGTATTGCGGGTGATGAGAGGTGGCATCAACTAATCTATCTGCTCGCTCTATCTCTGTCTGTCTGTCTGTCTCTCCAATCTCTGCCATAACTTGTGCTTGCGCATGCTAACCCTTGTCGAAACCTGCCCTGCCAATGGCGGTTGACCAATCCCTCAACATTCCCGCCAACAACGATTCTAAGGTTAGTTCAGAAAACAAACTGTTTGTGTTCGCGTCAACCCATCTGAACATAAAACTGTCGTTTGTACGAAACAGGCCACCAAGGCCCCAGCAAGCTTTCGGTACGTTCGCCCGAGCAACGACAGACAAGGGAAGGCTCACTTCCACAACATCATGCCAACACGACCGGTCAATTTGACTCAACAACATAACCCGGGATCGGTTTGCTGCTGCAGCAGCAGTTTCCAGACTGACAGACAGACAGGTAGACAGAGGGGTCTCACTTCCACGACAACACGACAACGCGGCCGGCCGTCGACTCAACAGCAACAAGCCGGGGCCGGTCTGCTGCTACAGCAGCAGTTTGAACACGCACATAAGAACCACTTGTTATTTCGGCCGAGGCTCGTTTCTTATTTGCACGATGGGGTACCCCAACAGCGACAATACAGGTTAAAGTGCAGGCTTCTTGACTTGACACGTGTTCCTATTTGTAGCCAGGTACTTAAACAGTCGCTATGTTTTGAGCCTGGGCTTGTTAGCTCCCACGTTCTCAAGCGCGGGGGCTAACTGTACTACCGCAAGTGATTCCAGAATCAAGCGACGATTTTTTTCGAAGTCACTGTATAAAGACTTCAACACATCGCTTTCGACTACTGTGGTACATATTATCTCGAATGGTTAGTCTTACTTGTTGCTAAAAATAAAGCCACCGCACTCACTGGGAAAGATCACGGACGGCGTGGTCGCCGCCGGAGTTAGTGTTGCCGCTGAAGGCCACGCCGTCGTTCACGGTGTCCCCGTTGATGCGCCCCCCCTCGCCCTTGAACCGCTCCGCGTAGACCCCGGTGTACGACTTCTGGTCGCAGAGGCGGTCGTACACGCCCCCCTTCTTGTTGGCAGACCCCGCGATCTGGTGATGACAGGGGAGCCACAAGAGAGGATCCGGGGTGGGGGGTTGAGACGGGAAGGAAAGGCTGTCAGTTGGTTGGTCATTCAGGCCAGTTGATTATTGGCGTTTGATTGGCACAGGTGCTCGATAACGATGCCCGCCCTTGCGTCAGCAGAAACGTGGATATGTTGGGGTGTGCCACTTCCGAGAGGGGCGGATGGGGGATGAGGGACCTCGCTGTTGCGTGCCCAAGCCTCAGGTGGGGAAGGCTTACCGCGGGGCAAAGCGACGGGACTCGCGTTTTGCACTAGGATACCGTGCGCTCTGTTCAGTTTATTCTCACTTGTTTTAGCATAGTTTGAGACGATTTTCTTGTGGTATCTCGTCTCCAGGAATCCGAAAGAAAACACCATCACTAACATCAACGATAACGACATCAACAGCAACAGAAACAGCAACAACTAGCATCAGGAGCACGAACAGGAGGCGAAAGAAAAGGTGGAAGCCAGCCGACGTTTCTCACCGTGCCTCCAGCCGCGGACAGGGAAGACTTGCGGCGGTCAGCGCCCGTCGCGGTGCCCCCAGACGATGATCCGACGGAGCCCCTGGACGCACGCTTGGGAGCGGCGTTTTGAGCCGCTGCTTTCGGAATCATGGGCGACACCTAGAGGAAAGCCGCCGGAGCGTGGGTGTGACGAGTAAATTGTTGTGATTCTGGAGCCAAATTGCAGTCGGGGGGTCGGACGCTACAAGAGAACAACGATAACAATACGACAGAGTGAGGCAGCGCGTCGTCGTGCTTTCTGCTCTAGACTATTTCTTCGTCGAGATTCGACCTAGCAGGACACACCGCGATCGACGCCAACCCATCAACTCGGTTTACAGCGCGGGGCAGGTCGCGAATAACAAAAGCACACGCACTTCCAAAACACACGATGATTCGTAGCACCCCCTTCGCGATCACACCCACGCGCTTGCGAGGGTCCCAACCGCGTGCTCGGTGTTATATTTTGGGGCAGAATGGCGCTCATGTGCAACAACAGCGCACCGTTGCTGACGATGTATGTGTGGGGTGTGTCTTTATCATTAGCATCGACCGCGTTAACCGGTTGACCAATGAAAAGAGGTCAGTCTCAGTGCGGTTGAACACGAAACACTTCTAAATGCCATGAACGGGGACCCCGTGAGGGGGCGGCACGGGTGTGTTCGCCCCATCTATTCCGGCGCCGGTTTACAGACCTTTCGGCGTAGTATATATACCTAAAGTATACGCCGGGGTCACACAAGAGGGAGGTCACACACGAGCTTTTGTCATTATTTCGTTTTGTTTTATTGCCCACCTTCCCCCCTGCCGTGCTTGCCTTAGTTTGGATTAGGGTCAGAAAACGGTTTCACTTGTTGCGTCCTACTCACCATGGCCGATCCGGCAGCTATGGAGCCGCTAGAACGCCTCCTGCTGGCGTCGTCGTTGCCGTCCATCGAGGGGCGGTACACCGCGTTCGGATCGAGCTGGAACCAAGCAGAAAAACGAATCGTTGTTGTTGTTTTGATGGTGGTCGTGGTGGCTGTTGTTGTGGTTAGTGTGGCGTTGTTGCCGGATTTATCATTGTGTGCTTGTGGTTCTTGTTCTTTGGCCAGTGGTTGTCGTTGTTGTTGTTGTTGTTGTTGTTGTTGTTGTTGTTGTTGTTGTTGTTGTTGTTGTTGTTGATGATGGTGGTGTGACTATTGGCTTTGGCGGCGGCTGGGATGGTGGATGGATTGGTGGTGCTTCTACTTTCAACAGGCATAAAGAGGCCGTCGTGTGCATCGAAACACAGAGGTTGGATCCTCTACAACAAGAAACGGCCACGAAACGTTTGACTATATCCATCCTCGGTCACACCCGCCTTCGTTCGCCATCGGGAACTCAGTCTGAAACCGCCCTCTCGGAGCCAAGAGGGTGTTGACGCAGCAGCTCTAATACCCACCACAGCCGTGTACTCGATCAATACCCTTCGGGTAGGGGACCACCGGGTCATCTACGAATCCTGCTATAATAGGAAGCCAGCAGGTTCTAGACATTGGGGGGTCTGTGTATACATTCACCTTGTAAACGCTAGCCTGGACGCCGCGGACGTCGGCCGAGCCCCTGTTGGCAAGGCTCTCCAGGCTCACTCGCTGGTCCACGTGCGTCGGCCCTGGAATTTAGCGGTTTCGTGCGCGTGTGTGTGTTTTCATTGTGGCAGAAGAACATGCTTCTCTTCGCGAGGGTTGGGGTAGCGTTGAGCAATACCTTCTTTTGTTGCCAGAGGCCACGGCATGATTTTGGTGACAATAGGCCAGCGCCTGGCTGCCGAAAAGGTGGGTATGTGCGTCCGCTGGGGGGGGGGGGGTACCCATAGTCGTGCATGCCGTAGTGGTTAGACCATTGACCTTGTGTCCCTGCAAAGCAGGGACAGAGCACGCCGGGTTCTCACCGGACCAGGCTCTCACATCACCAAGCGCGAAGCGCCGTGAGGTATTCGGCGAGTCGCATGAAGGGTGTGCTGCATCCTGCTACAGTTGCTCGGCATATTGTGCCTACTTCCTTGCGTACGGATGACAGCTGCGTATGACTCAATTTATTTTCTGGTGATTTTACTTCCAGAGACAGTTGTAAGCACTGTGTAACTGCCTCGAGGGTGCTTAACGATTTAAACACAATATGGTGCGATTATCCCCTTTGCGCGGAGTCAGGGTTCTCGACCCCGCGCAAAAGAATCGACTCGACCACCATTATGGATGCCCCCCAAAATAAGCCATAGGCAAAAAGAAGCGGTAACCTGGTTGCCGAGCTCACGAAGTGATTGGATTGATTTACAACGTCGTTGCCACGCGACGAAAACCCAACCCCGGTGGCAAACTCCGGGGAAGGAAAAAAACGAAGCTGCCGGGAATTGAACCCGGATCTGATCCGTGACAGGGATCAATTCTAACCATTATACCACAGCTCCTTCATGTAGAGCAGAGAGTGAGTAAGACATCTGAAGTAAAGACAATGTGTTGTAATAACTATCGTATTGGACTAATTTCGATGGAACTGAGATTCTCAACCTCGTTTACCATGTCCAACCACTTCATCAACCGGAGATACGTGAACAGGCGCATACAAGTAAGTCCATGTTGAAGGGCACCGCCCGTATCAACGCATCTGAGAGGATGTCGACAAGACCGTCCACGCTCCCGTGGAATGCTTGTCCAAGGCATCATCCGAGGCACGGTTCACCGGGTCAGCGGGGGAGATGGTGACCAGCAACTAATGGAAATCATATTTTATCTCGTGCCGTGTCGACACCGATGGACACAAACACTTATCGTAGGTTTGAACCGCCCATTTCGCGACGCCGCGCAAAAAAAGGACGGGAAAACGGACGCAACAACACAATGTCGCGGCACACGACCACACCACACCTCCGGCGGCGTGCGATCCCGTGTAGGTGCTCTTGTCGTCGTGGAAGCGCGAGGCCTGCGCCACCGTGCCGGAGGAGCTCACCCCGGTGACCGAGGCGATCTTGGACATGACGGCGCTCTCGTCAGCCCCGAGCTTCGCCGCCAGGTTGGCTATCGCGAACTGCATGTAGCATATAGCGGAGCACCGAAGCATACGCATGCATGCAGTGGTAGACGTGCCCGTGTGGGAGGTGTCTCTGTTTGTGCGCACGCTATCCGGGGAATGCTCGTGTAAATCGCAATCCGTTGTCTGTAGGCCGTTAACCTCGCATCATTCCATACAACGCCGGGGGGGGCGTACTCATGATTGTGTGTGTGTGTGTGTGGGGGGGGGGGGGGGGGGGGGGGGGGGGGGGGGG